AAAATACAACATTTATCCACCGAATACGCGACCGCTGAATAATTCAACAAGAGACTTGCATGGAAGAATTATAGTTCGCAGACATAAAGAAATTCTCACCCGAAAACGTTATATTAAAATTACAGATGGAGAATGTTATTTCTATAATCGTTTATTACAAATTCGCGCATGGAGATCTGAAGATGAGATCTATGGAGGATATGATACATACAGAGAACGTTATCTCTCAATGTTTCCCAGCGAAAGACAAATATTAAGAGAAGAAACTCAATCTTATATAAGACATATGCATTCACAACTAACGTCCCAGTTCAATGAAATAGTAAATTCCTTAATTATTTCCTTACAACAACAACTCTCATTATCACATACAGACCTTTTGTGCCATCAATTACAAACATTAGAAAGACTACCTCCAATTACACCACGTTTTGAAATAACTGATCTGCCTGAAGACCAGTATCGTACCATAAACATCCTTAAAACCAGATTTGGCAAAAAACGCAATCAATGGTCATACTATTTCCTAACAGGGTCTGCTGGGACAGGTAAATCATTTGTCATACACCACTTTCGATCATATCTTGACCATAAAAAAGAAAATTACCTTTTACTAGCTCCTACTGGCGTTGCAGCCCAAAACGTCGGTGGTCAAACAATCCATTCTGCTTTGAAAATTGGCTGTACTCAAGACCGTCTTCACAGTAATTATCGCACACTCATTTTTCACGAAACGCAACTTTTAGAACAAATACGTCAAGTAAAAACACTCATTATTGAAGAGGTCTCTATGGTATCATCGTCTTTGCTTACATTTATTTCCAACACATTCTCGAGAATACACAATAATGTTTTCCCATTCGGCGGCATAAATGTATTGCTCGTTGGAGATCTAGCTCAGTTACCCCCAGTCAATGGATCACCTGTCTATAAGTCTTCTGTATGGCAAATATTTTTCCCATTGTTCCTTCGCACTTGTCATCGTCAACAAAATGACATGGCATTTTATAATCTTCTTGAAGAAATTCGTTTCGGAAACATTTCCGAGGCATCATGGAATATGCTGGAACAAAAACATATCGAATATGCACCCATTTCTCATACACCAGATTGTCCTGATTCTACTCATACTGTCAGCTACAGACAATCTACTGAACAATCAAACACCACAACATGCAATCATCTTACAGATGTAAATGCAACTACTTTACACGAATCTACAGACTTTTTAGATGAAGAACAACAGGAATGCGCACCAGATTGTTTCGACACTACTCATATCGTCGGATATAGACAATCTGCTGAACAATTAAACACCACAATATGCAATCTTCTCCCAGTTGATAACGAAAACGAAATTATCCTACACAAATCTACAGACTTTTTAGGTGAAGAACAATGGGAATCCACTCGTATTCAAACCACTTTCAAACATTACACAAATCTTCCATCGTTCGTGAGACTTCAAGCTGGTGCTCGTGTTATGTACTTGAAAAATAATATGATGCAACATAATTTGTGTAATGGAACTGTCGGTATTGTAACTCATGTTAATAAACAATCTGAAACTGTCCGTGTTGCGTTTGTCGCTCAAGGACGACTTATAGACACAATTTTAAAACCAATAACAGCATATTTTATTGTTAACGGACAACACGCTACAAGAAAACAATTCCCATTACAAAATTGTTTCGCCTTGACTGTCCACAAAGCACAAGGTATCACCTTACCAAAAATATCAACTTTCCTTGATAGTCAATTTTTCGCCCCAGGTCAGGCCTATGTTGCATTAAGCAGAGCTCAACGCTGGGATAATGTACAAATTCCATGTCTAAACCGAGATGCGTTCATTGTTGATCAATCGCTTGTACAAGAATACGATCGGCTTGAACAAAAAGCAACATCACATGATTTTACATAAACTGATAAATACACTAACCCGTTTCATAATACCAATGTGAAAGTCGATAACACATAAACATTTGTTTACATATTTATCTAAGAATAAAAATTACTGTATCAAACTATGCACTTGCATGACAAAAATTCTCAAGCTTAACCAAATTTAATAAATGAGATCATATTATGTCGATATCCAAAAAACTATTCCCAGACCTTCTTTTCTCAGGATGTATGATCATTGTATAATACAAACACATACTATAAACATTACTCAATCATTCGTTTATATTACTAACAACAATCCATCATAACTAATTAATATCTTAATATTGTTTATTTGTTTATTCTATCAATCATAACAAACTTCTCATTTTATCATAAAGAGCAAACATTTGCGTATTTCTCACAAAAAATGACACACTAAAATCACATAACTTTCATATAAAAAATACCCACCGAGAACACATACCTCCCTGAGACCTCACTAAATATACAAAAACAATCAACAACTACACACCCACTTAAATGCATATACACGTAAACTCCTCCGCAATTAGAGTCACGGATAGTAACATTATAGAACAACAGAAATCTTCAAAATTCAATGGAAAAGGGTATTTCCGCAACTCAGATGGAGATATTATTAATGTGATTTTCGAAGGATATCGATCTATTTCACCCCACGCCATGGACTGCCACTACGATATTTCAAGAAAACGATGATATAGATGTATTCGGCGCAGTAACCGGACTAAATAACAATACTCTTTCGGTAAATTATTATCCTATAATTCTGAATATAGATTACAATCAATAGTTACTAATTATGTTTACAACATAGCTACAAATCTACAAACTATACGTCATCAACTCCACCAAAAAATCACTCCCAACAAGTGCGACATGGTTGCGCGCCCTCGGAACCATCATAACCATCCCTCATTCAAACAATAACACAACCGTCTTCGAAGTCTCCGCAACGCAATATGTTAATAGCACCGGATCCCAATTTAAACAAACAATCATCGTATACCATCAATCACATCGTCAATACTTACAGGCAAGAACATCAAAAGCACGAGTGGGAGCAAAAGTAACGATATGCGGCGAATTAGACATCATGGATGATAAACTTTACATGGAATTACATGTATTCGAATACGAATCACTAACAAATACTGAATCTATAACAAACACTTCCCCCGCTGCAATTTCACCATCAAAACGTACCAGATTATCCCAACTAACAAAGGAAGTCGTAGATACACCTCCTACGCCAAATTCCGCAAACCAGGAAACCGATGAAAATATAACACAACACCCTCCAAATCACAACATGAATGAAAATCAACCATCCGAACATGAGACCAACATCAACCAACCAGCAAAAACAGTAACAGAACTGTCAACCAACACGCTCCAAGTTCCAAAATATACCAAGCGGAATCTACGCAAAAAAGACACAAACTAATCATTCTACCAACGTATCAATGATAACTCGGAACTAAAAAAACAACTTACATTTAGTTTTTTATATTATTATATCTTAATAAGGAAAACGTAGTAAACCAGTCATAATACGAATTCTAAATTCAGTTTACACAAACAAATCGTCAATGGCTTTCGAATTTTTTTCTAACTCTTTACTAATCCTTTTTTGTCAGAATCTTACCACAAAAATAGGTCTACCCAATAACAGGAACCAGTCTTCGCATAAACCAAAAATTAAGAATCTTCGACATTAACATTTATATTCAATCACTAACCAATCTGTATCCAAATTGTTTAAAAAAATCAATCATACTTTCTGAATATAACAAATAAACAATTAAATACCTATTGCAAATTGATAACCATAACACACCATAGAATCCCATTATTACAACCTAATACTCTTACATACTACATAAACAATCATTAGTACAATAGTTTTCAAATACCAACTTTCTTTTTGTACTATTGTCAACGGATTTTTTCGCATAACAACAGAGCCCTATGATCAAACCACCAAATTAGTATTCGAAATTTAAATTATTTATCATCATACAAACGAACCATAAATACCAGCTTATCACCCGATTCAAAATACTCGGATAAATTTCTGACCACTCAAATAATTTCGCAGTAAACAACGAATTTGACTGTACACAACCAACAAAAATTACCCATACGAATATACACTTATTCACTTACTCGCAATAACAAAACTTCAAAACACCTGCAACAAATACGAACAACACTTCCACAAATACGAACAACACTTCCACAAATAAACCATTCATTGTACGAAGCGTGCCACTTACCACCATCCTTGTTTTATGTTAAAAATACACACTTAATCAAAAAATTTTTTTATTATTCAAATATCAATGACCCAATTCCTGAGAATAAGAAAGAGAATGTCACATAAGATAATTATACAGTGCTTACAAAAGTGTTTACAGTATACACTAGATACAAAGTGATAGAACTCAGACATGAGACTGGAGACCTGGTAGTATATACTACTTGTGTCAGATATCAACAAAAGTTTAACAATATAACAAACTGATTCATATCTAACTCAAAGCTTTGAAACTAAAAATACTTCCCAATCAACCCATTGAAAATTATCAGGTGACTGTCTTATTGCAACTTGATATGTTCCTTGTTTAGCATAAGGATTATACCCCTCATACCCAAAATGTAAATCACGGCCAGACCCAAACATAGGATACCGATCAGAATAATCAACAATGGCTCGTGAACTATCAACACCAACAAAACTCACAATATTTTTATGCATGTTTCCATCCAATGCAAATATAAAACTTTCTTTAGTATCAGTATAGCCTTCTCTAGAATCCCACGAAAGTGGGTTATACCCACCAAGTATTTTATCAGCACCCAATACTTCGCCAACAGAAACTGTGGGTCCTTTGTCATTACACAATTCCCTAAATTTTTTGACTGTATTACCATCCCTACTCCGTC